TCAGCAGGTATTGTTTCTTACTATTTAGTATGACATTTTTGGTCACAAACTTTTCTGAGAAGAAAAATAATCTACCTAAAACTGGACACGTTCTGTGATGTAATCAGTAAATGCTAGAGGCACTTCAGGCAGAGATATTATTAAGCATACCAAACTGTATTTAGCTACAGAAGTCTCTTACATTCAGAACACCCCCAAAACCTTTTTCTAATGGGCTTGCTATCTGAATGAAACACATTGTGTGATATATAAGGATTTCTTCTCATTGTAAAGCTTGATTAATTGAGGAGAGAAAGCACTGACCTTTTTATAAGAGTCTGAGAACATTGAAGTTCTTGCTCTCTGACCTTCAAGGGCCATTAAAAAAACCAAACCAAACCAAAGCATACATAGTAAAATGTCTAAACCTTGTTTTTGATCTTGAAATACTCATAAATCACTGTCCTGAGACTTGTTTCCTAAAGGCTGGATGTCTTTTTAGCCTCAGTTTTATAATTTCTGTATTTTTTTATCTTCAATTAGTTTTCTCAGACCCTCCTTCAACTCTATAACAGGTCCTTCTATCATTCCGTTCCAGTGAGTACATTGGGTTTGATAAAAGTTTTTCTAACTAATTTTTTTTGAGCTTGAATTATCTAACTAGCAGCTGCATTTTTGGCTTTGTAAAAAGAAATTTGTCCTTACTTATTGCAGAGCATCAGACTTACACCCCTTTTTACTTCTGTTATTTTTATCAGCCCTCAAGCTTTGTTTATCTGTTTATAAGCTAACATTCTTCTTATATGATCTCTAGAAATTGCTGAGAGACAGATTGAGATGTATGGAGGAAAATATTTTCAGGGACTTGTATTATGTGTACAACTGTACAGGTGCTGCAATTCTGTGAAATTGCAATATTTGTAAATTAAAAAATATACTGTTTTTATACAATTAGCGTGATAAAAGTTTAAAAGTTCTAGATTTTATGTATTAGACTGCAAGCAGAAAATGGAATAGAATTGCACTGGATAATTGTATAGAAACTTTATAGTAAAGATAAATGCTGCCTACATTTCCTTCACTTTGCAGAGGAATTCCAGCTCTACATCATGTTAAGTTTTTTGTCTTTACTTCTTAAGAAGGTGTTCTTCTTCTGTTGCTTTTAATATTTTGAAAAACTGAGTGTAGACTGTGTCCCAGCCTTTAAATAAGCAAGTGGAAGCTGTGCTGTGTAAGTCCTGTGTAAATGTGTTCACACAGTTTGAATATTGGACTTGCATGTGGAAGTGGCTATTTAACAGAATGTCATTTCTGATGTTCTGTTCTGAGGACTTTATTTTTTAGAAATGGCAAGAGATTATTATTACTATGTAATGTTATGTGTAGTAGATGAAATATTTCTAAAGTCTTTGCAGTGCTATGAAGAATGCTTTTACCAATTTGCATGTTTTGTAAAAAAGATTCTGATAATAGTAATGGCCTCCCATTGTTTTACATATAAACCTGCCCTCCGAAAAGTCTGGCTTGCTGTTAGCTGAGAGGTATTATTCAACAAATAAACTTAACAGTGAGGTCATAATTTTTAGGCAGGAAGAGTCCATTAACTGCAAGAGATGAGTCTCTGCAAAGCCTTTTTGATTGTTGTAAAAGAGGAAAGAGGTTTGTGTACTTCATTTCGAGGTACAGATTCAGGTGTTGGTGGTGTAACAGATTTTTGCATTGTGTTACTAGATTGACCTTGTTTTTTAGTTTAAATTAAATATAGCAATTTCTCAGTCCAATGTTTTTGAAAACTCTAACTAGAATGCTTTCTTACCTTTAGCATCCGAAGAGTTGCATTGCTTGTTTACAGTGTTACTTTAAAAAATAAAGCACATCAGAAAAACTAAGGCAGAATTCTAAAATAAAATGGCAGATATCTAGGCAGCCTTTACTACTAGCAAGACATTCCGATTTTGAACTTATTAGATGGAAAACCAAAGTTAGATTGACATTTGGACCTAAATATATTACAGTGGAAGTCTGAAGTTCTTTATTTTTTTAAAGGCAAAAAACCCCAATGCTTGATTCAAAGTAGACTGAGATATTAAGGTGCTTCATCTCCTTCAGATAAAAATGAGAATAAATACTAAAGTTTTAAACAAGAATGCAACTTTGGATTTCCATTCACTGCAGTGTTAAAAACTGTTTACAGTAACTAACAGCTAATGTAGTTGTCTTTATTGTGTACTACTAATAACTGATTAACTTGTCTCTCTATAATTTTAAAGGTTTTTTTTTTTAAAATAACCAGGTTCAGCATTCAATTTAAAAGCAACTCTGGGCTTTCTGCCTTTTAAATACAAAAGTTTTGAAGCTCTGAAACTATGAAATAGTTGAATAGTAAACTTGGAGTATCACTTGGTAACGATATCTGTTTATGTGTAGTGAGAGAAAGCTTATTAATTAGATGGGAAAGGTACACCTAGAAGCTCCATAATATTTTGGAGTAGACTAGAACAGGACATAATTTAGTACAGCTAGAATGATTAGTCCTGTGGGAAAGTTGGCCTGGAGAGAGAAATGTACCTTGCCAGGGAATTTGTCACCTAACTTAAGAATGTCACTACTAAGCAGAAAGGTTGTGTATAATAAAGGGATGTGCATAAAATTATTAGATGAAGTAATAAAAATTTGGATAGCTGAGTATTTCCTAGCAGCAATATGAACTAGCCTTTGGACTGACTTAGTTGAAGAAAGCTCTGAAAGCTTATCTTAAACCATAATGAACTTGAACATCACAATGCATACTGTAGGAATGTGACCCACCAAGGGTAGGAGGGAGAACCAACCGTAAATGGTTTTCTTAATAGAAACTAGATGATTCTAGTTTTTATAGAAGCATATCAAAGAGATGTTGAAAATATTTGCTATATGCATGTCCAAACGTACACACAGTATTGAGTATGACCTCAGCAATCACATCAGCAGCTGTGTTGCTAATGCTGGTTGGATTCAAGTTCCAAATTACATATTTCAGTAGTTATACTTTGCAAAGTTAGCTTTTTGTTGCAGTTAGACTATAGTATTGTTTTTATAAGGGAGATTTATAGTGTTATCCCTCCCTGGTGTCTGTGAGAATAAATTAATAAAGTTGGCCAGGACTTGTTTTTTTGGGTCTGTTTGTGACTCAGTTTATATAGTTAAGAGAACAGTGCCCAAAGTAAGTGCATGTTCATATTGGATACAAAAAAGTTCTGGCACAGGTTGCCCAGTGAAGTTGTGGATGCCCCATCCCTGGAAGTGTTCAAGGCCAGGTTGAATGGAGCTCTGAGTGACCAGGTCTAGTGGATGGTGTCCCTGCCCCATGGCAGGGGAGTTGTAACTAGATGATCTTTAAAGTGCCTTCTATCCCAGACCATTCTGTAATCCTGTGCAGTAGTTCAGCTGACATGTTCACATTGCATTGCTTAGTAAAGGTTAGTGTTTGACAAATAATATCATAGAATTATATTTTTGTTTGTTTGTTTGTTTTCCCCCTCTAAACAAGTCTGTGAGTGTACTGTGGAAGCTTTTAGACCTTTTTCTTTTAACCAAAGACTTAACTGTTTAGTATCAAATACAGTAGAGAACGGTAAGAAAAAGTTGCTTTAGTTTTAATTCTTTGATCCAAATTGGCTTCTCCAATTTAAAAACATGCAAAGGCAGTTTTTAAACTATATAGCTTATTCTGCTCACTTGTCATGTCCAAGATGGAACTGTCCAGGAATTCTTCCTCTCTCAGGGACTGACATTGACTGACATGCATAAACCACCCACATGTTATGCTACAGGAATTGAAGACCAATTAGGACAATCTTTCTGTGCTGCCACAGCAAACTACACTCAAGATCAAGTTCTGTTGCTGTATTTACTACAAGCTCAGTAAAAAAGACTACAGAAAATACTACAGCCATTTGAAAATGAAGTCCCATCCTCTCCTGCTAACCCAATGCTAATGTTGTGTGTTGTGCAGTGTGGCTGCACACCTTGCTTGCTTCCTCAATTGCCCAGGAAGCTTGTGAGTTCAATCAAGTGAAAACTTAAAAAAAGCTAAATCATATGTTGTTCCTGCAATATGATGTGACCTTTGCTTAAAGGGTCGTGTGTGTTTCAGGAGATAGGCCAGAGTAAAGAGAGAGCATGGAATTAAGAGCTTGTGTTAAATGGATTGGTTTATGCTGCATGTTGTAAACTGTTCAGTAAATGTTCACTGAAAGTCTGTGTCTGTATGGAGAGAGAGAGAGAGAAAATGTGTGTGAACTGATGTTTTTAAGGTTTGACCAAAGTGGACTAAAGTAGGTTGAATTGGAACAGACTTTCAGAGGTGTAGCAGAAAGCTCATCATTAACACCTAGGCCACCCTAGTGGAGACTTGAAATGTCTTAAATATATGGGAATAGCATCTTTAAACAGAAGCAGCTATGGATTTAATTTTTTTGTTTAAAGAAGTAATATAATCTCTTAGACTTTTTCAGAAACAGTTGAACACTTGTCATTAAAGCTTCATTCAGGTGTACATTGCATTCTTGTGCAAAAAATGCCAAAGTGACTCACCCTGAAGGCAAAAGAGCCTCAGAATGAAGCAGATTATTAAGATGCATTACTTGCCATGGCTGTAATAGCTTAGTGCCCATATTATGTTAGGTGTCTTTTTCAGTCTGTCTCTAGACTTTGCTGCTGTGCAAGGTATTTTGAGGCTTTTCTGTTTGTGTGAATGAGATGCTGTCTTCATACCAAGTTTTTCAGGAAACTTCTAGTCCATCTGTGTACTGCTTCCAGATTTACTTGAATCCTTTCTCTTATCAAGGGTCACGATCAGAGTTCCACTCTTGCCCAGCACTCTGTTGAATTGACGTTACCAAATCACCATCCATTTCACAGAGATTTACTTCGATATGCTAAACTTATGGAGTGGCTCAAGAATACAGATTATGGAAAATATGAAGGCCTAACAAAGGTATGTGAAGTGCTGATGCTAGGGAATGTTTGTAATACACTGGGTTTCAGAGTCAAAAGGATTGCCTGTGTGTCTGTACATGGCCTTTTAATATTCCTGTGTAGTAAATGCAATTTATCGCTCTTCTTTGGAATAGGAAATTTCTTTTTTTGGTATTTGTGGTATCCTGTTGTTTTATTTTTTCCCCTTGAACATCCTGTGTCTATTCTGAAGTATCACAAGATATTTATCTTAATATTTATGTAAAACAAGTTTGCCATTTTATAGTCTAGTAAGAAAATTAATTAAGCTATTTTCAAATCGATGTGAGACATCTTTATTTCAACAGAAATTCATTTCATTTGGGAATATCAGAAACTTCTGAGGTCTGTGTAAATTAAATTAAATAGAAATGTTTTCTTTTGTATGTATGTAACTTTTAACTACCTTGTTTAAAACTGACATAGAGTGAAAAAATTACTACCGAAGTATACAAAACGTTTAGGTAGAAATCAAGGGAAAATTAGTCCTTGCAGAACAAGTCTTCTTTCTGTTATTATTCTTAATATTTTAAAATTTTTCAGTTAAAGTACAGTCATTCTTAAAAACTCAACATGGAACATATAAATAAGAGTCTTAAAGTGGCTTTGAAATAGTTCTTTTTTGCCTTCAGTGTAAGGCAAATAGTCAACAAATGGTTGATATCTTCATGATCTTCTAATTAAAATTTGAGACATATATTTATGTATTTTGTGTGCTTTGGGGGGCACAGTAACAGTCTGATAAAAGAGGGTACAGAGAATGGTGCTGAATTCTCTCCACTCCACCCTTGGATTGTATTCTGTGATGCTTTACCACTAGTAATCCTATTTCTATGTACCACATTGAATATCTTTCCTTGTGGATGAGAAGTAGAAGTTTCTGATTACTACTCAGTGAACTCACTGTAAAAATTGAATATAAGCTGCTCAAATATAATTAATATATTTTTGAGTGTGCTGCATAAATGCATATTCTTATACAGTCCAAACCACCTTATTATTTGCTAATAAAGTCAGTATGTACACCTGTTCACTAACTTCACACTTTTCTTTTAAGAATTATATGGATTATTTGTCACGACTGTATGAAAGGGAAATAAAAGATTTCTTTGAAGTTGCCAAGATCAAGATGACTGGCACAACCAGAGAAGGAAAAAAGTTTGGTAAGCTTCCAGAAGGCACATACTTTGCTTTGAATCTTGTTATGTGCATATAAAATGCTTGTTACAACACCTAAGGCCAATTTTATAATGGTGTACAATTCTCTACTTTTGGCAAGGTGGAAAAGAAGTTGGATGAAAAATATCATTGGTAAAACTTCTGACTTCCAGAATGCCAAAGTAGCACACCTGAAATCTTGTGGAATTGGTCAAGATGAAAGGATAAAATATGATCTTTCTCAGATTTTCAAATTTACATTCACTTTTTAGCAAACTACCAGCCATATTTTATTATTGGAACAAATGTGAAAAATCAACTTTTATAATCAACAAAAGTTTGGGCAGCACATGTGTGTGTTCCTTCTGCTGTTATTTCTGCTTATGATAAATTTTGGGTAGATTTTTAAGAAGCTAGTTTTATTGCTAATTCTGCCTAAGGAAACTTGGGTATTTTGTTCTTTCTTTCATTGGGATTTACCTATGTAGCATGAGACTAGAAATCATAATTTGGTAGCTTGTAGGTATTCCTGCTAGGTTTACTCTAGTGTGATTGTGGAAGTGAAACTTTTGAATTAAAAGATGACCTGGATCCTTAGAAAGCAACAGTGATGCAGGTGCATCTGTATGTTGTCTGTTCTGTATTTTGAAGTGCACTGTTTCAAAACTTGTTTCAAATATTTATATTTGCCACAGTTCACCCGTTTGCAAATTCTGAATTTCAAAATTATGTGCAGCTTGAACTAGTAAGTTCTGTCAAGCCTATTTTGGGTCCTGAACTCATGCTTTGAAGTTTGATGGTAGAAAACAAAAAAATGTAGTGGTAAGGAGAGTGGTAAGGCTTGTCTGAGGGAGGGGGAAGCTGGAAAGATAAGTCTTGGCAAGCTGTTGGACATAGAGAGCAAGAGGTGCTGTAATGTGTTGTCAGAACATTTAAATTCATAAATCTTAAAAAGCAATCTTATTGCAAGTAAAAAACCCCCTTTATCCTAATACAAATCGATTTCTAAAACATTATAAACACTTTGTCTTGACACTTGTGATTTTTATTTGTGAAGATACAGCTTTGTAGCAATTCACTAAATTGTGTAAATGTCAGGGAGTCCTTCAATCCACCAGCATAAAAGCTGCACCTTGAGAAGACTTGTCATGCATTTATGAAAATGTATTTATTTTGTAACAGCTTTGTTACAGTGTGTGATTTCAGAGGCTTCCACATTGCACATAGTGATTGTGCTGTTACTAGCTGCACATTCATTCAACGTACATCACTTCTTAATAGGAACTGTGTTTAGGGAATAGTGTAGGTACATAACGCTCCAGTTGTACTTGGACACTGAGGGTGACTGTTTCCAAGCTGTGTTGGTGTGTGTTCTTGCCTTTTTTTTGTGCTTTGGGAATAGCACTGCTATTTGAATGCCTCAAACGCAGAGGGGATGCTGGGAGCATTCTGGCATTCTGTGCTAGTGCAAGGTTCTTTGTCTGCATTTTTATGGCAAAAAAACCCAGCCTGGGTCGTGAGTATTCACACTTGTCTTAAGTAGTCTTTTTTCTTTTTTTTTCTTTTTTTTTTTTCTTGTTTTCTGCTGAAGCCAAGACTTTGATACTTAAATACCATAAAGTCAGTGTTTTTTTGCTACTACTGTCATATGTTTATATGATGTCGCTTCTCAAAAGCCACTAAGGCTCCTCTGATTGTTCAGGGCCTGATCTTTGCCTGTAGTTCTTCACATTTTGTAATAAGTCCCATGTGTTTGGAAATTGAGGACCATGAAGAAGTGGGACCAGTGCATGACAGTTCCATATGCCAAATATATCATGCTTAAACCTTTTTTATTCAAAACCTGCCAAACACCCCCAAGATCTAAAAACTAGGCTGGAATGAAATTCAAATTTGATGTTTTAACTATCAGTAGCGTTGCCTGCTTGAGAACATCTGGTATTTAAGACATGTTTGTGGCATTTAGAAGTATTTAATCATTCTATTACAGTAGGTTCTGCTTGCCTGCTCCATTTTGGGGGACTTGTAGCATCCATCCTCATCAAGATCTTTTTAATACCACATATTGCTTTTAGTGTATGTATGCAAATGCCTTTTACTGGTTAGGGATTCTCAATTTTCTACAAATACCCATTTACTCTAAATTTCATATTGAAGTCCACTTGAGAAAACTGAAAAAACCCAGGAAAAACAAAACAGCTTGTAAATTTTTTTTTACTATGTATTTATTGTTTTCATCCTCTCCAAATTTGCAGTCATCAGTTTTTGGTGCAGTATGAATACATCCATATAAACATCCTGATTTGCAAACAGGTTTAGCCAGTCTTACTGTCTATCAGTAATTTTGTAATATTGCTGTGTGTTTTCTAATTGAAAAGATGGACAGTACCTCTGACTCAGTAAAAAAATTGCATAAGTACATTTTAATTTCTTCAAGCCTATTATTGATATGATGTTTTATCTTGAAAACTGAGTCTTTTGCAAGATTGACTCTGACAAAAAACCCTAATTTACTGGACTTCTCAATTTGGGAGAACTTAAATACATGTTTCCAAAAATGTTCTTTGAACACACTATATAAGTAAAAGCAAATTTTAATACCTGGAAACCTACTCTATTTTCCATGTAGCTTAGATACAGAATTTCTAGAATAGTACCTCTCCAACTAAATGTGTTTGCAATGTAGTTACTTGCTGCTTATAGTTCTCTGCATGTTTCTTTCCAGTTAGAGCTTAACTTGCATCTTGTGCATGGTTTGTGCAAACTGCATTTTAACTTGTCTTTGTCTTTGATGCTTGCAACCTAATCCATCCCAGCTACACTGCCTCGAAAAGAAAGTGCTGTCAAACAGGAAACTGAGAGTGAGTATAACGAGTTGCACTAGTTGGTATTGTCAATGCATGTGTGTCGGTGTGACGATGTAGTGCTGCATCATGGAAAATCTACCTAACATGGAAGCACTGTTCAGAATGAAATAACCATTAGCAGAATCACTGGTTTGGCAAGGCAAAAACGAAGCACAGCTAAAATGCCCCACCATAGAAGTTGAGAAGGTTTGCAGGTAAAGGCAATACCTGTTGGTTTTCCCATGCTACTTGTTGATAGTAAAAATATGTTTGTGCCTGAGAGCTTGTCCTAGTTTTCCAGCTCTTCTAGCCGGTTGAGGTGACAACGTGGATTTGATCTGTAGACTGTCTTGTGTCACTAGACTAGATACCAATATAGCAGTTAACATGCAGGATTGCTTTCAAGTTTCTTTGTGGTTTAGATGTGCAAAGTTTACAGGGGGTCAAATCTTCATAATTTCATGGGGTTTTTTGTTACTAGTTTTCTCTGTACTGGTCTAACATTTATGAAACTTTTGGAGAAAAACCACCTTAAAATACATGCTCCTCACCTAGGAGAAGGCCCAACAATATCAGGAATAAATGACTGAATGTTAATTATGATCAAAATGAGGGGAGAGCATTAGCAGTAGAGTTACTATGGGGTGGTAGATTCAGCAAAATAGCTGGAACAAACTGTAGACAAAAAATGTTAACAGCAGAAAGATCAAGTTCAAGATGAAAAAGTGCCTGTGTGAATATAAAGCTCTTTCATTTTTTTTCCCTCCTGTGTATCAGTTCTTCTGCTTGTGGCAGCCTTTGCCCACAGTACATTCACAAAGATCATAAATGGTCTTTGCTTTCAAGTTTTCAAGGTGAATATCTATCCCAGTGTTCCTGTGTTTTAGAGTTCTGTTCCTTTTATACCTTTTTCCATACTTCACAATGAGAGCTTAGATAGCATTGTACTCTCAAAATTGATGAAGTGTTTCAGTTTCCTTGTAACAAGAATGTTTACAGCAAAAACATATGTAGCTTAGCCAAAACTTGAGTTGTTTGATTTTAATATAGGATTACTAGTAACTCTTGATCTCATATATTCTGTAACAAACCTATTCTTCAGTATTTTGTTCTGCCTTTGCTTTCCTCATTCATTGTGTCTTTATTTCACAGGTCTTCATGGAAGTTCTGGAAAATTGACTGGGTCTACTTCTAGTCTAAATAAACTCTCTGTTCAGAGTTCAGGAAATCGTAGGTCTCAGTCATCCTCACTGTTAGACATGGGAAACATGTCTGCCTCTGACCTTGATGTGGCTGACAGAACAAAATTTGATAAGGTAAAGCCAAAATATCGCATAAGATTCCTGCTTAGTTTTGTATTGGAAGCATCTTACATCTTCTTCTTGCGTAGTTTAAAGTCTGTACCATTTAAATCTTGAAACATGCCAATTTCAAACTCTGTGTGCACCATACACCTAATGAAGGCAGTTTCTAAGAAATATGTAGATCAGAGTATTATTCTATTTAGTTCCTTTATATGCTCTGTGTGATCTTAAAAATGGTCTGTTAAGTTTATGCCAATAGGAACTGAATGGATGGATTCTCCAACTGGTTTTATTTTTTTTAATACAGACATGTGTTATCATATTTTGCCAGTATGTAAGCAAAAGTGAAAGATAAGAAAGCAGAATCTTATTTTAGCCAGGACTTAAGCATGACCCTAAAATTTTATTTATACTGGTTGTACATCAGAGTTACCATGAGTTTTCAGCATTAACCAATGGCACTAAGTTATTTTTGGAGTGTCCTCATCCTGTTTTTAAACTTGCTGTCCTCGGCATGTTGACCTTTTTTTCCTGAACTTTTAAAAGTTCCATTTCCTGTGGAATTAGCTCCTCAGTTCAGTGGTAGGAAAAGGAGATGCTATCAGTGAGGGATAAAAATAATTTTCTTGTTCTCTATTGAATTATTTGATGGAGATGAGTAGTTTTCTTCTGGCCCCTTCAAATGCTTGTTCAGTCTGTTTCTGGGAGGAAATATTCTATACCTGAAACAATATTGACTGTTAAGTTATTACAAACCTGTATCAGCAACTTGTCTGGAATTAAAAAGATAGCTTGTTAAAAACAGTTTTGTGCAAGTATTGTACTATTATTTTCAATTTCTTCTGAATTGTATCCCTACTGGGGATATGTGAGCATGACTGATGTATATACATCTGTAAGCTCTTGAGCTGAGCTATGAGGTTGGTTTGGTTGGTTGGTTTTTTCCTATGGGAATTTTCTGCAGCATGAATTTGTTGTGTGGCTGGTTTTGTTCTACTTATGTACATTATTGCATGCCTTAATCATTTAATGCTTCCAAAGAAAATTCTGTGTCGTGTAAACGTGACAGATTAGAGCTATGTCTAACATCTGACTTAAAATTTCCATAGTTTGTTAAAATTAATTATTTTAATGAATTATTGCCAAAATAGTATTTCATTTTAGTTTAAAAACTCTGATTAATACTTCAGTACAAAATCTACTTATTGGTTTCTGTAGCAGCTTTGTGGAAACTTTTTCTACTACTTCTATGGAGCAATTATTTTCTACATACACAGTTGACATGTTCTTCGTCCCTGAGGCTTTTGTCTTCTTTTCTCAGCACCCCAAGCAGAAAAGAGGGTGACAGAGCACATGACTTAGAATTAAAATTTGAATTTTTATTATAGTACAAAAGTCCTTCCTTGGGCTGTGACTAGAAAAAACTTCTAGTTGTGGAAAAATATAAGTTGTTTTTTTTCTTCCCAGTGTAATATGGATGAGAAAGTTGCATCTTCAACAAAGTCCTATCACTTTTAAAGATATAAGTACAAGCTGTTTCTACTTATGTTAAGTAGTAATCCTTCTAAAGCTTAGTGAAGATACAAAGTATATGCCACAAACAATCAAACTTAGTATTGCTAACTGTTTGCAGTATTTGCTGTGCTGATGAGATGTTTGGATTTCTTTAGATTTTTGAGCAAGTACTAAGTGAACTAGAACCACTGTGTCTGGCAGAACAGGACTTTATTAGCAAGTTTTTCAAACTGCAGCAACATCAGAGCATCTCTGGAACAACAACGGTATGACTTTTTATTCTGTCCCTGAAGGAAGAAATACTGACCAGGCCTCATAAGGGACCTGTTTAAAAGATAACTTTGGAATTTAGCTGACAGTTATAGGATCCAGGTGATCAATAATTTGTTTTTCTCCATGGTCTGGCAAGATCTTTAGTTTGACTGACCAATGCAAAATCTATGAAAGAAGGACTGACATGTTTATTTTGCCATGGTTTTGTCTCCTCATAAAATGACAATAAACGCTTCATCATGCTGTGTAGAAGGACAATGGGGAGAAATGGTGAATAGTGTTGTATTTGGTGGAACATGACCAGGAAACTCCAAGAACCTTGCAAACTGCTATATATATCTACTCTGCAGGCAGAGGGAGGTGGGAGTAGGGAGCTGCTAATTATATTGGTTTTGTCAGATATACTTTTGCTTAGATATAGAATTTGGGACAAACTTTATCTTTGTTTACATACATTCCTTGTTCTTACAGAATGAAGTGGAGGAAATGGATGGAGTATCTTTATCTCGTTCCTACACTTCTGGTGTTCCACAAACAATATCATCTGAGTATGTGCTGCTTTTGTTTGTTGTTGATTTTTAAGCCTATGTTTGAATTTATTTGGAGGATAAAACTTTTTCTCTATATCAGAAATTGTCCTCTTTTAGTGAAAGTGAATAGTGAAATCTTAATTTGTACATAGACACTGAATGTGCCAGTAAATTGAAAATTTTTTGTATGTAGGTTGTTCCTGTCTGTAGTGGTATAAAAACAATGATTAACTCTCTTAATAGTTTGCAAAGTGAAACTAGGCAATGTAATATGGAAAATATACTTAGCAAAGTTCTGAGAGTGTGTGGCAGCTTCCACACAGAAAATAATTTTTGGAATATTTTATACCTGTGACTATTGATTTTTACTGTGTGGCATTGACATTTCTTCTCTTAGCAGCATTCTGAAAATCATAAGACTTGTTGAATGCAAATGAGACTACTGTATCCAATCAATATATCCTACAAATGTTATCAAAGAATGTAAACTGTAAGAGTAATATTTGTCTCATGCATTTTTAATAGGAAGGACATGATCCGACAAATGATGACAAAAATATTTCGTTGTATTGAACCTGAGCTGAATAACCTTATTGCACTGGGGGACAAGATTGATAGCTTTAATTCCCTTTATATGTTAGTTAAGATGAGTCATCATGTATGGACAGCACAAAATGTGGACCCAGCATCCTTTCTCAGCACAACACTTGGAAATGTTTTGGTCACTGTCAAAAGGAACTTTGATAAGTGCATAGTAAGTTCTTCATTTATTCTGATGAAGCTAACTATAATAATATAGGAGTCCCACTCCTACCCAGTTTGATTTTGCATTTCTTTATAGTTAAATTTTTGCTTTAAATTTGAAGTGAAAATTAGTAACTTTAGAGCGCTTCTACTGGCTAAGCCATCAAAAAAGGTAAACTAATTGATGGTTGTTATTTTTCCTCTTCATTCCACTTTTCTTCAGTAAGATCACTCACTCACTGCTGTGAGCTAGCTGACATTTTCACTTGTTTGTTTAAACTTGTACTGCCACTGAAATTACTGAAGCCCATTAAGTTAACTGTAGGTCTCTGCCATTTTTACTTGCCAAGACAAAACCTCATGGACTGTGAGGGTGTGAAGTCCTTGGCAGAAGCAGAGGCCGCACAAACTGCTTTTGCTAATACAATGATAAAAATTACATGGAAGTTTATATTTATTATTATATAGCAAGTCTAGTGAAAACACAGCTGCTGTTATAACTGGTTTTTTAATTGTCATAAATATAGTTTGACTCTAGGCCAAATAATAAGACTGACCATTCTTGGTCAGTTTAATGCTTAAAATATTTTGAGGCTGATTTTTAAAAAAAATTATTATACTCAGAAATAAAATTTCAATAGAAGACTAAAGAGAATTTGTGCAGCAGAAAGAATCATTAGGTTGGCTGAATCAGAAAATTGAAGTTCCTTGCTTCTGCTGCATAAGTTTGGGATTTTTTCATTGTTTGGCTTTTTCCTTAATATGACGTAAACAAAGGAGAATCAAAGCCCATCTTCTTTTTTTCTTTCCAATTATTTTACTTAACATATTTGTGAGGGTAAAAAGGGAGAAAGACTAAGTAGATATACTAACTGAAAGATAAAATTATTTTATCTATTATGTCAGTTTTTCAGTATTTCTGTGTTATTCTTTTAATAGTCGTTACATGATCTGGAGTCATGTATTAGAGGCTAACATCTGTTCTTGTTTTAAATTCAAGAGTAATCAAATGAAGCAGATGGATGAAGTAAAAATCTCAAAAAAGAGTAAAGTTGGGATCCTTCCATTTGTTGCTGAATTTGAAGAGTTTGCAGCCCTTGCTGAATCAATTTTCAAAAACGCAGAACGACGAGGAGATCTAGATAAAGCCTACATAAAACTTATTAGAGCTGTTTTTATCAGTGGTAAGTTTTATGAGGTTGTCATAGTTACTAAAATCATTCTTTCCTCCTATTTATATATAATTTTGCTCCAGTTAACATGATTTTTTTAAAGATTCTCTATTGCAAGCCGTGTGACTGATATGCTGAAATTCTGGTTCTCTCTGTTACCAGTCTGCAAATGAGTGTGCACCCTCTGACAGTAATATACTTTTAAAGAGAGAATTGTAGATACTTCCCTTGGTGCATACCTGTATACTAACTTTGAGTTATGACAGAGGGAAGTGGTTAAAACTCTGGAGAGGGAGAAGAGATGGTAGCAACATGGCATGCTCAAGCTGAAGTCCTTTCCTGTCTCCTGTTGTTCTAGCAAAGACCATATTTGATCTTTATTTGATTTTTCCTCAATTTAAGAAATAGTCTTCTCTTAAATATTTCTATCATATGAGACCTATTAGGGATACTGAAAGCTTGTTTGTAAGCCTCAACAGAATGTGGGTTGTTTCTCACTTACGTAAATGAGACCACAAATAGTTACTATTTTCTCTCTTTTAAAAAGTGACTTTTTTGGCACACAGATTTCATGGGCTTAGAGCCTGTATGTATATGTTACTTCTTTTGAAGGGTCTCAGATACTGTTTTATTTAGTGGCAATCTGACAATTACTCATACAAATGTTTATTAATGACATAAAATCCAGAATTGTTTTTCTGACAGTATTATGGGTATTGATTATGTTTTTCTGAATTTGGTTGTCCTTTTGGTATTTTAAGTATTTTGCTTCCTGTTTCTTTCAGTGGAGAAGGTAGCTAATGAAAGCCAGAAAACACCCAGAGATGTGGTCATGATGGAGAACTTCCATCATATATTTGCAACACTTTCTCGCTTGAAAATTTCTTGTCTGGAGGCTGAGAAAAAAGAAGCCAAACAGAAATACACTGATCATCTTCAGTCTTATGTAATCTATTCACTCGGACAGCCTCTTGAGAAATTAAATGTGAGTGTATTTGAGTTTATGTAATTTTAAATGGTACAGAATAGGCCTTCTCAAATGTTTAGTTTGTACTATCTGATCTCACTGCCATCTATTACTTTAGACTCAGGCATGCCTGCCAAGAGTGCTCTACTCATGAGAGCAACAGACTTGGATGAAAATAACCAGACTTTTCATAGCAGTTACTGACTAAACATCTGTGTTGTAAGTCATAGAGTACTGACTAAACATCTGTGTTGTAAGCAAATGGTTTTGAGGAAGGAAAAAGTGAGGGGAAAAGTAGTCAGGATACTTTGGGATAATTTTCTTCACCTCAGCCACATAGAAAATTACTGCAGTTTCTGAACTGTTCAACAATAAGAAAAGTTCTAGGAAAGTTTTGTATGTCTGAAGTTGAACTGACTGTTCAGCTGAGTGGTGACTTAGGTTCCGACTCAGTTCTGCCTATTGAATAACTCCCACTGCTCATTGCTTTTTCTATAAGCAGGAATTCAGGCACCATTTTCTGAAAAGTCTAAGATGTATTATCTTTTTGACAATTAAAATGCTTTATTGCTACTTCCCACTTGTAGGTTGACTCTGACCAGCAGCTGAGCTGCCATGTACCTAAGTGATGTTTGCTTCCCCTCCCCACAGGAGAGAATAGGAAGAGCAAAAGTGAGAAAACATGGGGGTGGAGATAGAGAGTTTAATCAGTGGAGTAGAGAGAGACAAAAAAACCAAGTGATGCAAAAGTAGTCACTGACTATCTCTCACCAGTAGACTGATGCCCAGCCAGTTTCTGAGCAGCAGCTACCTTGAAGGCAAACACCATCTCTGCCCCCTCCTCTGACCCTAACTTTTATAGCTGAGCATGATGTTATGTGCTGTGGAGTACCCTTTGGCCAGGTTTGACCTGTTCAGCAATAACCAAGACATTGTTGTGCTGTCAGCCTTGTTCAAGCCACAAATCCAAAATGCATCACCATATGGGTTGCTATGAATAAAGTTCACTGGAAAGCCAACTCTGTCCTGGCCTGACCTGGTGCACTGCTGTGGCTCTACCTGCATGTTCATAGGCAGACATCCCTCCACGTTTATTACGTTGAGACAAGTGGTCAACAGCAGTGAGAAAGGAGGGCAACTGTGAACAAATACGCCGTTGTGTAATTATGGTTTAAGTAGAGATGCTCAGGTCCTTAGTGAGATTATCCAAAATATCCAGTATTTTCCCAGGCTGTGAGCTCATGAATTGAGGATTTTGAGGCTGGTTGATTATTAGTTATAAGGTTGCAAAGAAAAGCTTGATTGCTTCTAGAAATGATTGATTTCAGTTTTATGCTAGTACTTGGAGTGCTGTGTTATTAGGCTGTGGTTTAATGTTTATGGCTGAGTACTACTTCGTGCCCAATAAAAAAAAAAATGGGGGGAACACAACAGTCTTGAAGCAGAATCAAGACTTAACTTGACAAATTAAGTTACGTAGTTTAGATTTGTGATGGGCATTAATGCTGTTCTTTGTTGTTAGCATTTTTTTGAAGGTGTGGAAGCTCGTGTGGCTCAAGGCATACGAGAGGAGGAAGTAAGCTATCAGCTGGCTTTTAATAAACAGGAGCTTCGGAAAGTTATAAAGGAATATCCTGGTAAGGAAGTGAAGAAGGGATTGGATAATCTCTACAAGAAGGTAGATAAACATCTCTGTGAAGAAGAAAACTTACTTCAGGTAAACTAAATCCTGACTTAATGACCTTATTATCATGTTTACTCAAAGGCTTTTTATTATTGCTTTTGCATATGTATTTTGTGAGAAGGTTCAGCCTAACTCTGAGATGTGCAATGTATTGTGCCAGTTGACCTTTCCTAACGTTTGCTTTCTTTGGCAGGTTGTGTGGCATTCCATGCAAGACGAGTTTATACGACAGTACAAGCACTTTGAAGGGCTGATAGCTCGCTGCTATCCTGGATCAGGAATTACCATGGAATTCACTATACAGGATATTTTAGACTATTGCTCCAGTATTGCACAGTCTCATTAAGTTCCAGAAAGGGAAAAAGAAGCTAGCAGCTGCGTGCCTGTGAATAAGGGAATCAAACACTATAAATTCTGTTTGTTTTTAGAAGGTGGATTTCCCCATGTATGTGTAGCTGTCTGCAATGTATGTCAAGTTACAGTCCTGCTTCAAATGCCTTTCAGGGTAAAATGAAACCTTCAGGGATTTGTTGTGCTTTTACTGGGCTGAAGTACTGTTTGAAAGAATTAATTCTGGGAAACACTTTGGATACAGTTTTTCCCTTCCCCTAATGTTCAGATACTTTTATTTATAATCCCTTCTCTTGCAAAAAGCAGCAAGCACTACCTTCACAGTATGCAAAAAAGATACTACTGTTTTCACTAATTCTTTGCATCTTGAAAATTATGTAAGCATTAAAGACTATCAGATATTTTCTGTGTTCTGGCAAGCATGCATGTGGAACTCATGCTGGAGGAAGACTGAATTCATGTGGAGATGTAAGGTGACTAAGGCTATAATTCTTAATTAAACCATGTTCATCATGTTCTTTATTTTTGTGGAGTGTTATTTCAAAAAGGTGAAAATACGGATATTTCCACCACTTTGGCCATTGTGAGTCCCTCCTTGTCCTGGAGCTTCAGCCACTGGGGATTCAGGGCCTAATTTTCTGTACAGCTTGATGAAATTGCCACATTGCACATAGAAAACTAATATGAATGAGAGTTTTTCTTCTTCTGAGTTTTTAACAAACTTGCTACATGACAACTCAGAGCCACTGAGGCAGCTGGCATTCATAGAATCATGGAATGGTTTGGGTTGGAAGGGACCTTAAAGATCATCTACTTCCCAGCCCCGTGCCATTTGCAGGGACAGCTTTCACTAGACCAGGCTCCTCAGACCTCATCCAACATGGCCTTGAACACTTCCAGAGATGGGGCAGCCACAGCTTCTCTGGGCAACTGTGAC